CATGGCACATTCCTACGTTTTCCCAGTAAAGTATAGATAAAACACAATAAGAGATGAAGACAACTGATGAAGCCATTGACTAGCTGCATCAGATGTACTTGAGACAATGCGTTTTGCATATTTGTCCTGTTTTGAAGAATTCTATCCAGGGGACTGAATAATTCTGAGACTGGAAAAACAATTATAGGTTTCATTTGCAGTTGAATTTGGGGAAACCGCTTGAAGCATTTATTTCAATTGTTGTTTGATTTGTTCATTGCAAACATCTGAAAGTCTGTAAATTTGACAATAAACCTGATTTTCAACGGGAGTTGAATATTTTGATTACAACTGTGTATGACTATATATATATATATATATATATATATTCACACACTATATAAAATTAGTAAATATTATACTAAATTAGTAAATTTGACAATAAATCATGTTTATTGTCAAATTTATAGACTTTCAGCTGTTTGCAATGAACAAATTAACAATAACAACTGAAAAATGCTTCAAGCGGTAAACCTGATTAATTTGATTACAAAGGAAGGATCCGATGTTCTGCTGTCCGGTGGAACTACTGAATGACAGAACCAAACACATTGAACAACAATGGCAAAACCGCCATGGCACATTTCTACGTTTTTCCAGTAAAGTATAGATAAAACAGAAAGAGATAAAGTCTATTTCAGCTTGAAATGCAACTTTTGATTAACATCCTTTATCTGCAATTGTCATCTGTAATTGTAGAAATCCATGCAGTCTTTTGCCATATATCAAACATGCAGTCAAATTTAAAACTCACCAAATCCCTAGTCAGTTTAGGTATTTCAAGTGTTCCAGTTCAAGCAACTGATGAAGCCATTGAATAGCTGCATATATTTATATAGTTAATACAATGTTAAACAAAAATCTGCACACCAGTTAAGATATATATATATATAGCTGAAAGTCTGTAAATTTGACAATAAACCTGATTTTCCATAGGGGGTTGAATAATTAACTAAAAATCAGATGTATTGTCAAATTTACAGACTTTCAGCTTTTTGCAATGACAAAAATCAAACAAAATGCTTCAAGCAGTTTCCCAAATTCAACTAAAAATGAAAATTATAATTACTTTTCCAGTCTCAAAATTATTCAGCCCCCTAAATAGAATATTCACTATATATATATATATAATAAAAGTAATGTCCGGCACTCACTGCTCCCGGTCTTGTCTGTTGCCCAGGTGCAAACTTCGATCTCCAAATATATATATCCTTGTTTGAAGTGCACTCACAGGACTCGGAATTATTTTAAATCATGCTGTTTATTCAAAGCATCAAATTTCCAGCAAATGGTGTCAACGTTTCAGTCCTCCAGGGACTTTTCCAGCAAATGGTGTCAACGTTTCAGTCCTCCAGGGACTTTTCTCAAGACTTGAGAAAAGTCCCTGGAGGACTGAAACGTTGACATCATTTGCTGGAAATTTGATGCTTTGAATAAACAGCACGATTTAAAAAAATTCTGAGTCCTGTGAGTGCACTTCAAACAAGGATATATATATATATAAAAAAAATAGTAAATGAAGGCTTGCACTCACGGTCTTTTTCTTGTATAAAAGTTTTCTTTCTTTATTCCATATCTCTTAAAACATAATTTCTGTTAGAATCAACGTTTTCAGCCATTGTCCGTGGCTTTCATCAGGATCAGTTCAGCAAAAAAGTTTTTTGCTGAACTGATCCTGATGAAAGCCACGGACGATGGCTGAAACGTTGAATAAAGAAAGAAAACTTTTATACAAGAAAAAGACCGTGAGTGCAAGCCTTCATTTACTATTTTCTATGATATTTGACTTTGGCTAGAATGCACCCGGCATTTGAATAACTTGAAAGAGTGTGTGCAGGGATAAAAAGGAACATTATATATATATATATTAAATACATTGATAAACACAAATCTGCACACCCAACACACAGACAGCACCCCTACCCCCCCCAGAGCACAGCACAGCACCCCTACCCCCACAAAGCACAGCACCCTTACCCCCACCCAGCACCCTTACCCCTACCCCCCACACACAGTCCCCCTACCCTCCCACACACACAGGTAGCACCCCCACCCCACACACACACACAGCAACCCTTTTACTCCCCACACACACACAGCGGCCCCCACCCCCACACACAGACCCAATTCCCCACACACAGAACCCCCACCCCACACACACAGCAACTCCACACACACACAAAAATCCCCACCCAATCCAGAAACACAGCACCCCCACCACACAGCACAGCACCCCACTCCGCGACAGCACCCCCACCCCACATGCAGTACAGCACCCCAACCCCAACACACACAGCACCCTACCCCAACACACACACAGCACCCCACCCCCACAGCACAGCACCTGCACCCCACACAGCACAGCACCCTTACCACCACCAAGGAACCCTTCCCCACATGCAGCACAGCACCCCTACCTCCCCACTCAGCACAGCACCCCTATCTCCCCACACACACAGCACCACTACCCCCACCACACACACAACACCCCTGCCCCAAACACACAAACACAGCACCCCTACCCAACACACAGACAGCACCCCTACCCCACACAGCACAGCACCCTTACCCCCACCCAGCACCCCTACCCTCCATGCAGCACAGCACCCCTACCTCCACATGCAGCACAGCACCCCTACCTCCCCACACAGCACCCCTACCTCCCCACACACACAGCACCACTACCCCCACCACACACACAACACCCCTGCCCCAAACACACACAGCACCCCTCAGACACACAGTACCCCTCACACACAGCACACCACACACACAGCACCCCACACACAAACACATACACTGCGCCCCTCAAGGTAGTATGTGTGTATATTCAGCAGTCTGTATATGTGTGTATTCAGCAGTCTGTGTGTGCGTGTATTCAGCAGTCTATGTGTGTGTGTATGTATTCAGCAATCTGTGTGTGTGTATTCAGTAGTCTGCATGTATGTATTCAGCAGTCTGTGTGTACTCAGCAGTGTGTGTATTCAGTGGACTGTGTGTATTCAGTGGACTGTGTGTGTGTATTCAGCGGACTGTGTGTGTATGTACTCAGCAGTCTGTGTGTGTACTCAGCAGCCTGTGTGTGTGTATTCAGTAGTGTGTGTATGTGTACAGCAGAATGTGCGTGTATCTGTATTCAGCAGACTGTGTGTATGTGTATTCAGCAGTCTGTGTATGTGTATTCAGCAGTCTGTGTGTATGTATTCAGCAGTCTTTGTGTACTCAGCAGTGTGTGTATTCAGTGGACTGTGTGTGTGTATTCAGCAGACTCTGTGTGTGTAAGTATTCAGCAGTTTGTGTGTATGTATTCAGCAGTCTGTGTGTGTACTCAGCAGTCTGTATGTGTATTCAGCAGACTGTGTGTGTATTCAGCAGTTTATGTATTCAGCAGTCTGTGTGTGTATGTATTGCATTTGTTGGAGATACTAATAAATATAAGCTCAATTGTATCCATTAGTTAAAATGTGTATAATTGAACTCTCTGTTGTTGTGTTTTTTTTAAAACAAAAGTTGTTAATCAGTTTGGACAACTGTACGAGTTATTTTTTCTAAACTTAAACCTCAGTATTCAGGTTTAATTGCCGTGCTGGCACTTTGAGGAAAAAAAAGTTGGCATGTATTAAGGTTCGCCATCACTGCTATAGGACAACTAGTCATTTCAGGACTAAAATATTTTCTTACTTACTGGCTTACTTGAGGGTCTTTACCTTCTGTCCCCAAGGTTCTCCTTGGGAAGTCTTCAGTAAACAGCCCTGTGCAAAGATGTGCCCTAAATAAACCCATTTAGTGACCAGGGGTCAACTTGCAGTGACCCTAGAGGTAGCAAGGGAAAAAAATTCAATAAAATGCATTCCCTGCAGTGAACAAGATGTAGCGGGAAATACCATGAATAATTATCATCATGGAATGAATCCTCTTTCTTTAAATATCTGGCATCTTACTGTATATATTTATATATATATACCCCCTTCTACCTTTATACTATTTTCTAATTTTTTTTGGGTTATGGGTGGATTGGAAAGGATTGGAAGAATAAGGTAAGGTTTCATTTACCTTTTCTATGTTCCCTGGTGGTCTAGGGGTATTATTGGTGAGCTTCACTGCTTTTTTGCCACATTTTTGGGGCAAAAGTAGGCATCTTGCTTGGCGTCCGGTGGAGCGTACTGCGCATGCGCCAGTGAACGTTTACATCATGCCGTTTCCAACACATGCGCGAAAGTGCTGATTCGCGCATGAACATGAGTTCTGTCGGGTCTGTGTGTAGTGATGTCATTAGTGACGTCGTGCAGTCTTTTTAAAGCCCCAAAACCAAATAAAAATGACCTGTTTAGGTTCTTAAGTCCTCAGAGATCGTCTGCATTGCCTGACTTCTCAGTTTTTATTGAAATTTGTTGAAACATTATTTCCTGTACGTCAGGTAAGTTACCTTTCTTAAAGGTATATTTCACTTTTTTTTCAAAAATTAAATTTTTATACTGCTTTGGTATATTAATTTAAATTCTTTAATTATAGCAATTCTCAAGTTGCTAGTAATGGAGAAAGAGGGATCATTCTCATCAGACTCAGATGCATCTGTAAAAAACAACTACAAAGATAAAATCAATACCAGATAACAGGGCGCCACAGTCACTCTAGTTGCCAACTTCTATGAGAATGTCTCACAAATAAATAGAGAGAATAAAAACAATCAATGAAAATATATATTACAATTTATTGACAAGTTAAAATCAACATAAGTAGTTAAGCAATAGCACTGTACATGTGCAACAATCTCAGTATAACCCAAATGGGCAAAAAGACCCTTCAGGATAGTAGCTTCTTATAGCATGATACAAAAGTGCAAGTGCTAGAGTACTAAAGATGCATCTGTTTATAATCAAAGGTCGCACTCATAGAGTTATAGGTAACCCACTATTTTTAATGTACTAATGTATTTCACTCATTACAAACAAAATAGTGTGTATATTTACAGGTGATATTAAAAAAATTAGAATATCGTGCAAAAGTTAATTTATTTCAGTAATGCAACGTAAAAGGGGAAACTAATATATGAGATAGACGCATTACATGCAAAGCAAGATAGTTCAAGCCGTGATTTGTCATAAGTGCGATGATTCTGGCTTACAGCTCATGAAAACCCCAAATCCACAATCTCAGTAAATTAGCATATTGTGAAAAGGTGCAATATTCTAGGCTCACATAGTCCCACTCTAATCAGCTAAGTAAGCCATAACACCTGCAAAGGGTTTCTGAGCCTTTAAATGGTCTCTCAGTCTGGTTCAGTAGGAATCACAATCATGGGGAAGACTGCTGACCTAACAGTTGTGCAGAAAACCATCATTAACACCCTCCATAAGGAGGGAAAGCCTCAAAAGGTAATTGTGAAGGAAGTTGGATGTTCCCAAAGTGCTGTATCAAAGCACCTTAATAGAAAGTTATGTGGAAGGGAAAAGTGTGGAAGAAAAAGGTGCACAAGCAACAGGGATGACTGCCGCCTGGAGAGGATTGTCAGGAAAAGGCTATTCAAATGTGTTGGAGACTTTCACAAGGAGTGGACTGAGGCTGGAGTCAGTGTATCAAGAGCCACCACACACAGACGGATCCTGGACATGGGCTTCAGATGTCGTATTCCTCTTGTCAAGCCGCTCCTGAATAACAAACAACATCAGAAGCGTCTTAACTGGGCTAAATAAAAACAGACCTGGTCTGTTGCTCAGTGGTCCAAAGTCCTCTTTTCTGATGAGAGCAACTTTTGCATTTCATTTGGAAACCAAGGACCCAGAGTCTGGAGGAAGAATGGAGAGGCACACACTGAAAGATGCTTGAAATCCAGTGTGAAGTTTCCACAGTCTGTGTTGATTTGGAAAGCCATGTCATCTGCTGGTGTTGGTCCACTGTGCTTTATTAAGTCCAAGGTCAACGCAGTCATCTACCAGGAGATTTTGGTGCACTTCATGCTTCCTTCCGCAGACAAGCTTTATGGTGATATTGACTTCATGATGCTGACTTCATTTTCCAGCAGGACTTGGCACCTGCCCACACTGCTTAAAGCACCAAAGCCTGGTTCAATGACCATGGGATTACTGTGCTTGATTGGCCTGCAAACTCACCTGACCTGAACCCCATAGAGAATCTATGGGGCATTGCCAAGAGAAAGATGTGAGAAATGAGACGGAACAATGCAGAAGAGCTGAAGGCCGCTATTAAAACATCCTGGTCTTCCATAACACCTCAGCAGTGTCACAGGCTGATAGCTTCCATGCCACGCCACATTGAGGCAGTAATTGCTGCAAAAGGGGCCCAAACCAAGTACTGAGTCCATATGCATGCTTATACTTTTCAGAGGTCCGATATTGTTCTATGTACACTCCTTGTTTAATTGATTGCATGTAATATTCTAATTTACTGAGATTGTGGATTTGGGGTTTTCATGAGCTGTAAGCCATAATCATCGCACATATGACAAATCACGGCTTGAACTATCTTGCTTTGCATGTAATGCGTCTATCTCATGTATTAGTTTCCTCTTTTACTGAAATAAAGGAACTTCTGCACGATATTCTAATTTTTCGAGTATCACCTGTAGTTGTGCTGAGTAGCTTTAAAACCTGGCAGGTAGGTCATGATGTGAAATTTTGAGCTGTAATATACTGTACTTCACCTGTGGGTCAATGTAATATCAACGTTGTATTAGCAGGAGTATTAGATAGAGACACGGCGGGTGATGTACTAGTGGAATAGGAAAAGTGAGCTACCAATGTTCCCTTAGAAGATGAAATATAAAGCAGAATGCCTAGTGAACATATGGAATTTAGAAATTATTATTCCACCAGTTCACGTGAAAAGGTTAGAGAATTCAAAGTGAATTTCCAATGTAAAGTAAAAGTAGCTGAACTGGAAACATTCTCCAAGTTTGCCTATTTTAGTCTAATATTTGACATTTGTTTTGAATGCACTATGAAATCTCAGTTTAGTGACTAATGCTGTGTGAGTTTGTAATCTATAGCCTGGCATGATCTGATATGCTGATGATGGATTCTTATGTGTCCCTTTATTATTGCTATTGGTTTAATTTATTTGGAAAAACAGTCTGCAATGAGTTTACTATAATCTGTGGGTAAAATCTTTGGAGTGGGGGATCATATGGGGGCAACAAAAATGAAATACACTAATTAAAAAAAAAGCATATAACATAGAAATCCCAATCTTCCTAGACTAACCTGTTAAATGCTAAAATAAAAAGGTATTTTTTTTCACTTGGACTCAAAAATGCAGCTGAGGTTTATTTCATGAATTTTGAAGGCTATTAATAATTTACCCTAAAATAGCCAAATTGTAAATATTCTTCAACTCTGACTATTTTGCCCAATAAAGAAATCATTCAGTTCTTTACAATAAACAGCTAGATGAATACATGTTATAGTTTTGATGTAATTCCTGTGCGTTTCATTCCCTAAACTGTCTCTTTATGTTTCTGCAGACACAATGTGGCTGGAGCAGTTGGATGCTATCCCTGCTCTCTCAGGGGAAACCATTACCATTCCCTGTCATATTAATTACCCATCTGAGAAAAGAAATAGTTTATCACAAGTTACCTGGAAAATGGGATCAAGTGATCTGTGCAGTGAGAATGATGGGTTATTTACATGGAGATCATGGAATGAACATGACCAGCCTGAAAGGTTCTCATTGGTTAATTTCCCTGATGACGTCTCATTAATAATAAAAGATGTGAGATCTACAGACCAGGGTCAGTACTGCTGTGAAGTATCTGCAAGATCGACTATCCTTAGAAGCACCCATGGCACAGAGCTGGCAGTTGGAGGTAATGACAGACATGATTTTCTGGTGGTACTTCAGTGCACCCAAACAGTAACAAGTACGGAGCTTTCCAAAAACCCCAAAAATGTATTTTTGCCATTAGCATACGTCACCATATTTTCCCAGACAACTATAATCATTACATGCTATTGGGAGACACATTAATAGGGCTAATTTTGAATTATACGGTGTTACATATCAGGTCATGGCGATCAGTTGTTCCTTAGCAGGTCTGAAAATGTGATAAATACAACAATAGATGAACAACACATGGCATAACACCATGTCATGAGTTTTTGATCAAAAATTAAGCCAGAATGGAGAATCCATATGTGAAAAACTAGTACACCTTTTGAATAGCTTTTCAATAGCTTGTAGAAGCATCTTTAGCAGAGATAACTTGAGTAATCATTTTCCTTATGACTCTCCAGTCTCTCACAAATTACCGTCCCATTAGTCTAACTGGTAAACTTTATTTTAAACCCCATACTGCACAATGGGGGACATAATTAATGCAGTGCAGTGTCCTGGGTATATATGTCCCCCATGTCTGTCATAGATTAGTGGGAATTACACTATAAAACCTGTTCTTGAACTTATAGTGTTAAAACCACCACTAAGTTGGCTTGCCCGCCCCCCTTATCCCCCTTAGAAAAGGTTAAACCTCACCATAAATTCAGTGTCTTAATGGAGAGCATGGAGGCGCTGAACTCCAGGACTGTCTACTGTGCAGCACTGCCCCAGGAAGCACCTCCAGTGGCCATCTGAGTAGTGGCCACTGGAGGTGTCCCTAGGGGACAATGTAAATACTTTGCATGAAAATGGCTGAAGGGAAAGATTAAACTAACCAGAACAACTAAATTAAGTTGTAGTTGTTCTGGTGACTATAGTGTCCCTTTAAAGTACTCTAATGTTAAATGAACCCCATCACTAAACCTGAAAAATTAACTCTAACTAAAAGTTGTAAGATACATAATGACAGTGTGTGTACTGGGGAAATCAATGTCCTTTTGGGATTCTGGGGACAATTATAAGGCACTCTACCATCAACTGGGTTAGTTATCTATCTCTCTCTCTCTGTCTTGCCAAGCAGCTCCCAGCTACAACTGTACCAGGCATGGTTGAAGATAGAGAAAGATAGAATGGTCTTGAAACTTTTAAATTAGGTTATTTTCAAAATGCTCCCCACTTTCTTAAGCCTCTGTGGAGGATGAAGGAATCATATAGGGTGAGGGTTTAAACCAAGCTTCCCCAAACTCCGGCCCTCCAGATGTTGCTGAACTACAACTCCCATGATTCTCAGCCAATCATGGGAGTTGTAGTTCAGCAACATCTGAAGGGCCGGAGTTTGTGGAAGCCTGGTTTAAACTATCACTCTAATTGGATTTATTTATTGCAGCACTGTTGATGAAGCAGTTAACACTGCTCTCTGCAGCAGTGATAAGGTTAACCAGGTAAGCAGGTTAGCTGTTGCAGGTCTTGGAAGGACCAATGAGACCGTTAACTAGTTCATTTTTTTCTATCTATTTATGTCCCTTACTTAGCTTCACACATGTTATTGCAGGCATTAACTAGTAGCTAGTTATGTATGTATTCGATTAACTCACAAGCAATAAAGTCACTTTGTATGTAACAGTTTCCATATGTTACAAAGGAGATTTTTGTGCTTTCATTAATGCAGCTTATTCTAGCAAAGTAGGAATGTCAGCAGGGCCGGCCTTAGGCAATTAGGCGCCCTGTGCAAAAAGTCTTCACGGCGCCCCCCCCACCTCCCACCAAGTTGCCTGAATACAGTAACACACACAGGCACCGGGGACGTGTGTATCACGAGGCAAACAAGGCATCTGCCTTGGGCGCCACTTTGCAGGGGGCGGCAAAAAAAAGCATCCCTCCAAACCCCCAGGCAGATCCCTTGCTTGCCTCGCATCCTGGGGGGCTCAAGAGCTGACCGGCTGGCCACTTTTGAGCCCCCCCAAGGCTGGCAGCGGGCAGCGAAGGAGCATACTCACCTGAGCTCTTCCTGCTCGGCTTCCTCTGCGCCGCTTAATGAAGCCGGGAGCCAGAATATGACGTCAGTCCGGCTCCCGGCATCACTAAGCGCTGCTTACTCAGCCTGTGCGCCCCCTGCCTGCCTGCCCAGCAGCCACACTGGACTGCTGTTAAGAAATCCACTCCAGCTTTCCCAGGGAGGCTGGGTGGATTTAAAATAAATGTAAAAAATATTAGTTTGTGAGTGTTAGTGGAAATGTCTGTGTGTGTGTCTGTGAGTGTTTATTTGGAAGTGAATGTGTGTGTGTGTGTGTGTGTGTGTGTCTGTAAGTGTGTAATTGTGTGTGTCTGTAAGTGAATGTGTGTGTGTCTGTGAGTGAATGTGTGTGTGTGTTGGTCAGTGAGTGTATATGTGTCAGTCAGTGAGTGTGTATGTGTCAGTCAGTGAGTGTGTATGTGTCGTCAGTGGGTGTGTATGTGTCGCTCAGTGAGTGTGTAGGTCAGTGAGTGTGTATGTGTCGGTCAGTGAGTGTGTGTCGGTCAGTGAGTGTGTGTCAGTCAGTGTGTATGTGTCGGTCAGTGGAGTCGTGCATCTTTCAGTGAGTGCTTGCGTCTGTCAGTGAGAGTGTGCATCTGTCAGTGTGTGTCCAAGTAATAGTGTATGTGTGTATGTCATTGTTTGTCAGTGTATATGAGAGTGTGTGTCTGTCAGTGAGTGTGCGTCTGTCAGTGAGTGAGCGTCTGTCAGTCAAAGTGCGGCCTTGACAGGAAGGGGTGGGGGAAATTTAAACTCGGTTACAGGCATGTACACACACACTCAGTTAAAGGCAGTCACACATACAGGCACAGGCACAAACAATGGCACAGCGACACACACAGACAGACAGTCACATAGGCAGTCACACAGACAGACACACAGTAACACACACATAGACAGTTATACACACACAGGCAGGCAGTCACACAGATAGAAAGTCACACACACAGGCAGGCAGTCACACACAGACAGTTACAGACAGACACACACAGGCAGGCAGGCAGTCACATACAGGCAGTCACACACACAGGACAGTCACACACACAGACAGTCACACAGACAGACAGTCTCACACACACAGGCAGTCACACACACAGGCAGTCACACACACGGGCAGTCACACAGACAGACAGTCACACAGACAGACAGTCACACACACAGGCAGTCACATACATGGGCAGTCACACAGACAGACAGTCACACAGACAGACAGTCACACACAGGCAGACAGTCACACACACGAGTCACACAGTCACACAGACAGACAGTCACACACACAGTCAGAGACAGTCACACAGACAGACAGTCACACACACAGGCAGTCACATACACAACACACACGGGCAGTCACACAGACAGACAGTCACACAGACAGACAGTCACACACACAGACAGAGTCACACAGACAGACAGTCACACACACAGACAGTCACACACAGGCAGGCAGTCACACACAGAGACAGTCACACACACACACAGAGACAGACAGTCACACACACACACACACACACAGGACAGGCAGTCACACAGACAGTCACACACACACACACACACACACACACAGACAGACAGTCACACAACACAGGCAAACAGTCACACACACACACTTACCTCTTTCCAGTGGATGCAGTTGGCTGATGGGGAAGCATCTTTCCCTCTTCCTGTACAGCAGGGGCTTCGGGAGGTATTAGCCCGTCTCCGCCTCTCGATAAGCCCCGCCTCCGCCGCTCGGTAAACCCCGCCCCCTCTGCCGCGATTTTTTTTTTTTTTTTTTAAATAGACCCGGGTGGAGAACAATTAATCCTCCAGCCAGGTACCTCTTTTAGCTCCCCTGCACTCCGGCCATGAGTGAGCTGTGTCGGCCATAGGGCGCCCCCTGTTCCATGGCGCCCTGTGCGGTCGCACAGCTCGCACACCCCTAAGGCCGGCCCTGAATGTCAGTGATCATATCTGCTGTTTGTTCTCCAATCCTCTCCAATAACATATAACTCTATTAACTGTATTGTGTTCTGAAATCTTCCTTTTCCAGACTTCAACCCTCATCAATTATATAAAGTTCTACAACCTCAGGAATCCTTTGTTAAGTTGGGAGACTCGGGCATTATAAATTGTTCATTTAGTTCATCTGTAGAGAGACTCTCGAGGACCGGAATCTACTGGACAGTTGGCAGCCCAGCAGGAAAGTATTCCTATCACCCTTCCCAGAGGATGATCCATTCCAGATACAGGGACAGGACCAGCCTGATAGGCCAGGCAGATCTTCATATAAAGGACATACAAAGCACAGACAGTGGAACTTATTACTGCATTGTGATTCTACGATTCTGTACTGGAACCAACAAAGTCAAATCAATTGTTATCTATGGAGCGGGAACCAGACTGAATGTAACAGGTAAGGTGAGAAAGTGACACAGCCATTTAGCTCTGACTACGAGATGTAGAGCCTTGTACTGTCCAGAGCATATTTGCCTTATGACAATGTAGTGATTCCTTGTGAGCTATTCGGAAGTGACACCATTACAGATGGGCCTCATGGATAAATGGTTATATGTTTAACATGTACATATGCCACACCTTTGTTCTGCCCAGAAGGTCTTCAATACATGTATGTCTATTAATGAGAAAGTGGTTGGAACATTCTAAGATTACATAGATATTGGCAGCTGGGATATTTAGTTTCCTTCTCTGTCTTTCATAGCACTGTAAAAGAGTCTTCTTAATTAGTCGAGAAGTTGTATTTTATGATCACCAGGTGATTGCCAGCCCCTATTTAGATATCATTCTAAGTATCCCATATTGTTTGCCCATGCATATGACTTTCCTGTGTTCCTACATTGATGGCCAAGTTATGATTTACAATTTTCTTGGTGAGCATTGGACAGGCTTAATTTGCAGTATTGTAGAGTCTTCCTCATGACATTACACTGTGGCAGTAGTTCCTGACTTGCATTGTTGAGTTTATTGACAAGTTTCTTCTTGAAAGTGTTAATACCGTCAGTCTTACAGACCTACAGCTGTATATTGAGATTTAAGACTGAGAAGCCCCCCTCCTGCTTGTTATATCTGTTGCTTCGTATCAGGTGCCTGTTTTAATGATTAGTGCTTTAACTCATTCCTTGTTGAATGGGATAATTTTAAGTAGAATAAAGTATTTGCTCTGGTGCTTTGTGGTATAATGCAATAAAATGACATACTTTGGGGGTGGAGGGCCTGACAGCCAACCGAGCAGGACACACATGGCTGGAGCTCCTCAGCCAAAGTTTGAAAAAGCATTGATTAACCTGCTAAATTACTACAAACCTGGTGAAACGAACCATTATATTCCTGCAGAACACTAAGCTGAAGTGCTGGTTTGAGCTTTCTTGGTCCAGGCTGCCGTGGACTGCACCAGACTGTCTTGGGGCCTACGCGAGATTGTCAGGCAGAGGAGGTGGCCGCTCCTCTGTCGGAACTTGTCTTGGGTCTCATCTGGGCCTCCTGCCCCCTCTGAACTGGTGGGGGTTGTCCTGGTCCCCACTGCCGTGCTTATTGGACTGATTGCCCGGTCCATCCCTACTCAGCACATGCCTGAAGCTAAAGGCCTACTCACCAAGATGGCCGCCAACACACTCAATGCCTTGACGCCTGCACACCCGCAACTGACAAACCGAGTGGATGTGTTCCTACATAGGTTCAACAGCATATGTGCCCAATTCTGGGAGAAACTCTACACCCATACAGCAACTACCTTGCCTGTAGGTCTGAACACCCAAAACCAGGCTGCATCTCCATGGCCTACCCTGAGGGCAACTCCAGCAGTGAGGTGGAAGAACCGGAGACCGAAGCTGACAGCGCCCCATGAAAATATTACATCCCAGCCCTGTCGACATGCTTCTGCACGGCAATTTTACGAGCGACAATTCGTCTGGGAGTGCAGCCCGATACCGGAGAGTGTCAGCCCAGAGCAACTTGCAGCGAGATGCAAGAAGAAATGGAGTCTCCGTGACTGAGTACAGCAGGGAGGTACACCCTGAACAGGCAATGTGTAGTTGCAGTTGTCCCCCTCCTCAGCTCAGGAGAATGCCACACATCGGGGCTGCTGAAGCTCCATCTACAGGCATCGGCTGAATAAACCTAAGCACAGACCAATTGCTCTCTACAGCCATGGACTCTACTAACACACTGTTGTCTCCACATTGCTAGGAAGGGCCATCTTTAGTATTTACATATATCACCTAACACCAGGGGCACCCAGTGGTACTAACACTCTTAAGCTCCCTAGAATTGCCAAGCATGTTTATACCTAATTTCTTGTAATGTTTGCCTGTGCCTAGAATTAGCTAGCTAAACTCGACAATTGACAAGGTAGTATTGCTTTAATGTCTGTGCCTACTCTATACATCATAATACTGTTACTATTCCTGAAGATACAAGCATAGATTTAGCCCTCTCTACTATGCTAAAAACAACACAGACCCTTTTGATGTCTTATGCTTATTTTAACATATTATTTCCTGCCTGACGTTATTCACCATCTTTAACGTGTTACTTAAAAAAAAAAAAGTGCCATTGTTTATGCCAGTGTTTCCCAACCCAGTCCTCAAGGCACACCTACCAGTCCAGGATTTAGGGATTACCCAGTTGTGTCTAAGGTGTTTTTACAAAGAAGAAAGAAAACACCTTAGACACAACTGGGTAATCCCTAAATCCTGGACTGGTAGGTGTGCCTTGAGGACTGGGTTGGGAAACACTGGTTTATGCTACCATGCCAATGTTTTATCTCTGTTTTTGCATTGCTTGCTGTTACTGTCATGGTATCACAAGTCTGCCTGTTATCACGTGCACTACAAAAAACATTTAAAAAAAATAATTACGTACGTTGAGGTTTTGTTACTCTTTTTCTTTTCCATTTTAACCTTTGCTTTTAGTAATAAGAATAAATACACTTAGCACTAAATAGGTTTTATTTAAAAAGTAGTCAATTGAAGTTATTTAAAAAAAAAAAAGAAAAACATGATTTCAAACTCAGGCTAAAGCTGTAATAATAGCTGTGTTAGCATGCTATATATTACGTATAGCTATACAGAATCAGTGAGTGCAGCTTTTTGATTGAAGGTGGATGCAGATGCTTTGTGGGACTGTATATTGGTGGGAGATTTTATATTTCATGGAAAGTTTGATGGGACCCAGCTTATTTTTGTTTTCAGATGGAGAGTAAGTGGATGTTGCAAAGAAAAAGCTATGAACCAGACAAGAAAGGGAAAAAATGCCAAGAGTTAGCTAGTTTACTTCTTTCAGCAAACTACAACAATACAAGCAGAAACAGGGATAGTGAATTAATACCAACCTAAATACAGTGAATAAAACCTTAATCTCTAAGAGCAAATCTGTGACTAAAACAGAAATAGACACTCTAATAGCATAATATTGTTAAAACAAATATTTATAATGAGAGAAATAATTGGTCACTCACACTTTGCAGAGCCACATTATTATATTTATATAGCGCCATCAAATTCTGCAGCGCTTTACAGTGGCTGGATGACATACATGTAGTGGGTAACCAGACAAGTTGGACACACAGGGACAGAGGGGTTGAGGGCCCTGCTCAATGAGCTTACATTCTAGAGGGAGTGGGGTAAAGTGACACAAAAAGGTAAGGATAGTATTAGACTAATGACAGTTGCAGAACAGTTTAATTGATACGCTTTTATGAAGAAGTGGGTTTTTAACGATTTTTTGAAGGAGTGGTGACTGGGTGAGCATCTAACGGAGGAGGGAAGCGAGTTCCACATATAGCAGACTCTAGCTTTAATGGCACTTGATAGTATTAGTATTCTATTAGTCTCCATGTTTTTTGTCTGCCTCTCCACCAAAGAGAATAATGTAGGGACTCCAATCGGGACTGGGGTGAATAGACTTTAAAAAGAATAAAATAATGTATAAAAATAGCCCAAACCATACAGGTGGGAAAAAGTCCAGATAAAGCACAAAGCATTTCAATCTTTACAGTCTTCCTCCAGATGCATACTACAACAATAGGTACTGAATTAAACTAAAAGATAAAGTAACATAAATGAAACAGAAAGTTGATTACGGTAATGCAATAGTGGCACAGATGTATAAACTGCATCCACATAGTCTGAACAGCATTAACACATTATACATTATACATCTAATATGAAGATCCAATCAGACTTTATGTATTTCACCTTGTTTAAGACAAATTTTGGTAGACAGTTTGTCAATAAGTAAGCCGAATGAGAGTTTGAGATCTAACCACATACCTTGCAATTTGTAATATAATAATTTGCAGGTATCATTTTAAAAAACAAAAATCATTTGTTAAGGAAATAAAAAAATGGACAAATATGCAGAAACGGAAGATTACCTTGCAAAAACCTTTGGTCTGGCCTTGATTCAGAGCTATTACTGGGCACTGAAACTTGTAGCAAAGGAAAAAACAAAAGACAGCCAAAGTGAAACAGGGAATAAACAAATTGACTGAAAAAAATGGTAAGTTAATGCGTGATGCATTTCGCATCATTTGGCAAGTGTCTTGCTAGTTAGCATTCAGCCCCTGGGCTTTGGCCACTATTGTGACTCCTCCCACATAAAGACTTAAAAGGAATATTAAGTGTTAGGAATACAAATCTGTATTCCTAACACTATAATCCCCACTGGTACCTCCCTCCCTCGCAGCCAATATCCACCCTGATTGCACATAAAGGGTTAAAAAACCTCTATTCACCTGATTCCAGCGCCAATGTCTCTCGATACTGGTTCTGCCCGCTTCGACATGAGCAAGCGCATTAGACCCTCCTCATAGGAAAGCATGGCCATCCAACCCACGTGGGAAAGAGGAGCTTAACATCATTATTTCCTACATTTTGAGGGGATGGACAGTGGAAGCCTTGTGTCTGCTGTGGCCACCTACACTAAACAGATAATTAGGTATGTGGACACAGATGGAATGCTGCAAAGAAGTCAACAAAAAATTAGACATAGTAAACAAATGATAATCTGACTCAGCTCACCATTATGTACTCAACTACTGCATGATTGCATAGTGCTGGGTCTTCAGTGATGAACTTCTAACATGTCATCCTTCTTGGCCAGCCACACAACAAGGGACTCTGGGCTATCAGTGCAACTGGACTATCAGTGCAAATGTGCTGAAATCAGACCCCATGTATTTCTGGAGCTCGTGTGGTGCTCAAGCCAAGATCAGACGCCCAACAACTTACCTGCTGTATGGTGCTTACTCTTAAAAAATACAGGTCAGCATGAATTTATATTTTCTTTCACAAGGTTCTACATTTTGAGTTTGCCCTGGCAGCTATTAATTGCCTAACTTGTTGGATTCTGTTCTAGCTTATTAGAGGCTATTTATTGATTGCTGTTGCCGTTTTGTGTTTTTGCTACCACTGACTTCCATACTGTAGCCATCTTTGCACAATCTACACAAGTGCTTCAAATATTCTGGGTTTTGAAACGTCACTCACTTTGCTTCACAGTACATCCTCAGAAAGTCCTGATGTTTTACAAGATTTATCGATAAAAGAAAAACAAATGCAAATGTAGGTATCACCATGTAAATAAATCAAGTGTGGAAGCTGCAGAAGCAAACTTAGAGGTCACATAATATTGTGTGGTTCTCATTCCAATAGTCATGCTGGGAATTCACAAAACAAAAATGCGTGGTAAGAAGGAAATTTCTAAATGTTTATAGAAAATAATTGCTCTGGAAAATATGATGCTGAAAAACACATTTCCAACCTTTACTATCCTGATTGCACGACCTGATATTTACCAGGAACAGGTCTGAGGGAGTGGGCAGTGTTATTTAGTTAGTGAGATGGCCGGAACCCTTAGAGTATCTCTCTGCCACCGTTCTCCAGGGTTTGCAAAAAACGGCAAATAACTTCCATTCCTTGCAGCAAAATAGTTTTTGTTCTTTACAGAATTTTTAAAATTATATTTAGTAGAATATATTTTCTTCCTCTTATACTGTGACTTGCGAATAGACATTGATTGGTCCAAATTGTTACAGTCATCTCAATGTCGGTTTCAGACAGCTTGGTCTACTAGCAAGTCTCAGATGTTCAATTCAATTAGAACAGGATTGCTCCCATTGGAGTTGGATTGTATCTTCTGTATATGGAAGAATTAATACATTTTCCAACTATTTTATATTAGCTAGCTGTTGGTAGTGCAGCCAGTTGTGTTCTCTCTTAGATTTTAACAGGGTTCACATTTTTCTTACTGATGACCTAATGCACCATTTGCCTCTTACAATGACTTGTAAGGTTCATCCATTTTTAAATATAAAAAAGAAAAGAAAGCTATAGGAAGCTACTAGTATGTATAGAAACTATCTTTAGGACAGATTAAAGGGGGTACCCTACAAAGACATTAGATTATAGAGAACAAGAGAACATAATCTGTCCTAGTTAGATAAAATCCTTGATAAACTTTAATAGATATCCTTAAAAAGGTAAATTAACCTTAGAACACGGGCATTCAGGGGATAGAAATATATACAAAAGATATTGCTCAAAATGAAAAGTACCTTTGCTAAAGAGGTAGAGAGGGGAACATTCA